TTATGCTTTTAGATAGTGTCATTTTGAAATCCCTTTTTTTCTTAAAAAAAAAAAAAACACTTTAGATTTAAAAAAAAAAATCTATTTTTCTTTCTTTTTTCTTTAAAAAGTCAATGTATAATATGGATGCATAAACACCTCATTTTATTTTAGTGTTAATTTCTGTTTAAAGTAACAAATTATAGTTAAAAATGTCTCTGGACCTTTACTGGTGTTGATTTTCTTTATTCGGACCCCGCTGATTTTAAATTGGTAACCCCTGGACTAGGTCATCAAACCATTCAGGCAATATGAAACACTTCAAGATAACTCATTAACCAATCACTAGTGATTCCTGCAAAATGGGTTTAGAGAAAACAAACCGAAGAGATGGACCTGATCAAATGAGGAGAAATAAAAGAGAGCAAACACTGTCCCTGTATTGAAAGGATAAAAAAACAACTAAAAGTATAAAATTATCATCATACTTGTTTACATTAGCTTCAGTGGTAATAAAAACCGAACAATCTAATGACTTTATGCTGTGTAAAACCAAACAATCTTCCTGAAAGCTTTGATTGACAAGGAAACACCACTCTATACAGCATGAACGGATGAAATATCTTACCTTTATTTTACCAACCAAAGCAACTGCCATATGAAAATTAAAGCCGCTCTCTGAAAGAGAACAGCGTTTAGCCTAAAGATGCTTTGCTAAGGCAACAGTAATGTCTCAAGAGTCTGGTTTTTCTGAAAATAGCCAATTACAGGCAGTTTAGTTTCTCTAATTGATTTCACCCTCAAAGTGACAAAACTTGATATGAGCCAGAGAAACAGATCCACAGGTGATTCAGCTTCTCAGTGATAAGGGAAATTTGCTTAATTACTCTTAGTTCCTTCAAACTTTTGGTATTCCTGTCACTCTAAAGACTCTGCTCTATATGTGGTTATTCCCTCTGATATTCTTATTTTATTAAGGAGTGTTGGGAGGCCAGGTGTTCCACTATTTAACCCCTCTATGACACCTGTGGGGCTTATATGCTTCTCTGTTAAACCTAAGACTAACAATCACAGCAACAGGGCTTTGTTTCAAGCAGATATCACAACTAAACCATATATTGTTCATTACTGGTCTGCTATTGGCACTGATTTTAAGTGGGTCAATATATGAAACTTCCTCACAGATATTATGCTGGCAAAAAGTATTTGTAAAATTTAAGTAAAATTTGTGTTTACATTTTCACTACTGCCACTTTCTGGGAAGAAGTAACCCATTACATTGTTTGGGATTTCTGTTTAAATTGGAACCTTGAGTTGTTTGGAATTCATGATATAAATAAATATCACATCACCAAGAGAACTTTATATAGTTAACCTAATAATACTCTTAGGGAAGTATCGCAAAGATCTAAAGTTACTCATACTGTTCCATCTTTTCTAGCAGGGGTGGAATTAGCTTTTTTTTTTTTTTTAACTATATGCCAGCTTAGATGTGAGTTAGGGAGTGTGGGCCCACGTATTTTAGTTTAAGTTGGTCGATTGAAACTGAAACTTCATTACAGAGTGGAGTTTATTCTAATGTTATTTTTGAAAACATCTGAATGGGGGGGGTTCTTTTGCTAAATAGAAGTTCAAAGACTTATAAATTCAATTCAATTCAGTTTATTTATATATCGCCAATTCACAACACATGTCATCTCAAGGCACTTTACAGTTCAACCAGATCATACAGTCAAATTAA